GACCAGTATAGTCTAAAAACGTAAGAATGGTACCAGGCTACCTCACCACACAGCCAGCATCAATTCTGACCTGCGATACCTCTGAGCACATCTAACACATCAGTGACCATCGCTCAACTAACCTCAACCTACGATAAAGTAATTGTCTCCTGTGCATCTCCCTCCATGACTATCAAGAGGACCACCTCATCCGAAATAGCTCAGTTACGTACAGAGAGCAATCAGAAGCTTCCTCGGGATTCTCAGAGGCACGCAGTACAAACAGCTAGAACAAATCATTGGCAGACTGTATGGATGCTGTAAGGGTGGCAAAGACCTCTTTTTAGCCAAGATTCAACAATCTTGATCAATGACAATTGATCAAATCGAGCTCAAGACCCAAGTTACAAATGTTCTGTCCTCCTCCTCCACTTTGGTGCCAGTTATCTATAAACTATGGCGACAGTACTAGTGAAGTGCTTGAAATAGGCAGTACCAATGGATTCACCTCTCAAAGGATGTAACACACACACACACAAAAAAAGGGGGGGCTGTATGTTTAACTGAAAGGATGAGATGCTTAAGCTCTTGCAAAGACACTCCATGGTTTCAGCATGCACTTGAATAAGCTATCAAAACCAAACACTCCAACAATTTTAAATTGTCTAACCAAATCTCTCTTCTGTTCTCCACACTTTTATTTTCCATTCTTAAATGCTATAGATTCCTTTGCATTTTTATTATTATACATATTTCAAAATTATTTCATGAGTCAATATAAGAATCTAACAGACTTTCACCCCAACCACTTCAAAAGGGTTGCACACATTAACAAGTATTACTGCAAGTAACGATGATCTTTGTTAAGAGCAGATAGGCTCTTTGTCTCTCCAATACAGCCTTGGGGGTCGTGGTGGCTTGGTTTTTGGGGGTTTTGTTTTATTTAAAACAACATACAAGATAACTGGTAGCAACTGGAAATTTACTGTGGGGAAAGTCAGAGTTTCTCGGGGAATGAGGGAGGGTTAAGCCCCCAGTCCCAATGAACAGCTTTAGGCCTTGTTGTTTCTACTCAGAGCTTCTCTACTCTTTCACAGAGCAAAACAAGCCAACCTGTTGTCAAATTTTGCAAGAAGCAAAAGTTCACTCTGTTGAAGCCTGTCAAAGTTACCATGAATGAACTCTATGCTTACAAACACAGTTCTATTTAGAGATCATCTTCACAACAATAATGGGCTAGAAAATTTTTAAAAGAAAACCAAATTCAACACAGGTTAGTTAGCAAGAAGGTCCTGAAAAACGAACTTGTTTGCCAAAATATTTCAAGCACTGATTACAAAGTTTGACACAAAGAATCATTTTCTTCAAATGAAAAAGTATCAGATACTACAGACACATCAACCTCCTTTTGAGACCTGCTGTATCTCCAAGATGAACTGAGTGTATGTGTGAGCATGTTGGCTGTATCTGTCAGCACACGCTCCCAGTATCAAACAAGTTTGAAAGATGCACTTCAGCAAAGTTTCATTTTAAAATATAAGAAAAACGAATGAAGACGACTAGATTTTCTGCCTCACTGTTTCAGAATGCATTTACAGATTATAATGCAACACGCTATACTTGCTTCGTCACAGCAAAAGCTGTGTGGCCGGGAAATCACACCTTTAGCTGGTTCACAAGCAGTAAGTAATTAAGTGGCTGTATGAGCTAAAAGATTCTGTCACGTGAACTACATATGAAAATAACTGAAGTATGATTGCTTCTAACATGCTCTTACATTGATAGCATTGCTCATCATGAGAAGATTTCAGTGTACTAAGTCAAAGTAAATTTTAAAGGGTACTTTAAAGTAAATTTTTCCCACGATGGAGGATGCCCCTTTCTCATTTCCATCGGTTGGGGATTTTCTGTACCAAAAGCGAGCCAAGTCCATTGGGCCCGTACCTTATTCCTGCAGCTCTAATTGCTACATCAAAGCTCAGTGTGGACTATTACTGCCTCAAAAAACAACATGTAGGAAAGCATCCAGCAAGTTTCTCACTTCGGTGAAGGTCTGCGAGGATCCCAGATTAGCAGAATGGAAAGCATATAAGAGTAGTGAAAGAGAAACAGGGAAGTATGAGACACAAACATTGGGAGTTTGGGAAGCCCAAATTCAATTTCTAGTTCTTACTTCGATGAGAGCTTGGTTATGTCAAGGAGGGTTAGATACAGAAAAAAAGTGTTTGAGACTATGAACTAATTTTAGTTTCCTGATCCCTACATGGAACTAGCATCACTGACAGGTATTAAGGACTCATCAGGCTTCACAACCACCAGCATGCTGAGAGAGGAGCTGCCTGATCAGCAAATAGGAAATGCCAGTGATAAAGGTGTGTCTGAAATCCTGCCTCTCTCCACAGCTTGCAAATGTTGTCCTGGAAGTACACATTTATGTCCTTTATTCCTTTAAAAGGATAACAGGCATCATTCTTTTCCTTCAACAAAAGGAGAAGCTGGTAATGTTAAGCCCCTTTTTAATACAGTGCTACCACAATGAGAACACTCACTCTTCATTCAGGAGACCCAGACTCTACTGCCTACAAGCCTGAAATCCACCTCTTGCCACCAGGCAGGCTGATGATGAAGCTATTCCCACTAGAAGACGCAGAGAAACCGTATGCGGGAAAGGAAACAACTACAACCCATAACCCATAACTACAACTCCAGGTACACAGGCCGGTGGAGCCTGACCTGAAAGCTGACAATTGTTAAATAAAGAAAATAGTTCTTGGTTTAGAACCCAATTCTAATAAGTGGGCTGTAAAGTCATGCTCCCTCCTTCGCTCCCTCTCCAGGCCATGAATATTTAATTCTTTTATGCAAACTGGAAGAGTTGCAATGCAAGGTTAAATTAGCCTAAATAACCTTGAAATCCTTTTGTGAAGTTGGGCCTCTGAGTCAACTGCCAATCTGTAGAGAAATAACTTTCTTAAACAACGAGTTCTGTTGTTAGCCGTATTTAAAATACTGTGTGGTACCGTGACAAAAATCTTGAGGTTAGAGTTAATTTGACAAAATTTATACCTTTGGTTCACTTTTCTGTGTTAAGATCCATGGTTTAGACACTCCAATTATTTAATAAATGTTTGTTCCTCAATTTTGAATGCAAAACTCTTCCTGGGAAAAGGAGTCAGCTACAGCATTCTCAAAATTTTATTTGATAACACAACATATACATATGCTGGCATGTTTTGCTGCTCCCCTAGTTCTTTAAGTGCAAACTTAATTAATACTACTTTTTCTTTTGCTTTATTTTGCAGTAGGCCAAGCTCCCTACAGACTAGCTACAGGTATACGCCAAGTCAGTGTCTCATTCATATGTCATAAAGCAAACAAAATAAATAGACCTCTGGAAGCCTGACAGAGCTACTAAGTTTCACTTTTAATTCTCAAAGTGTTTTATGAACTTCCTTCAACTCATAACCCTACAAATCATTCACATGGTTGGAGTCAGTGCGGAGAAGCTGCGTCTCGGTGGTCAGCCTATGCAAAAACAGTTTTATGATCTCTCTCCAGAGGGGAGAAGGGAAGAGGGGAAGAAGAAAAAAAAAAAAAAAAGATTATTCTTCACCCTGCCAGCTAATCTTTAAAATCTGGAAAACTTAGATGCTTGCATTTTAAGAGGTAGAAATAAGAAAGAATGTTTAAAAATCCTTATTAGTAAAATCTTTACTAGGATAATGTGTATGCTTATTGTTATAAATGCTGTTTTAGCACTTGAATGATTTGCCTATTCAGTAAAATAAATCAAATATCCAACACAACTATTAGATTGGAACTCGGCAATGAAGTAATAAAGTGATTTTTCAAATGCCTAAGAACTTATGTACACTTAGAAGACGGCAAAATGGCACAAGTGTTTCTGAATGCCGCAGCATAGCTGTCTATTGCATCTCTCTTACAGGTCAGTAACCACTGACTCTGGTGATAGAAATTGATTTTTTCCAAATTTTAGCAACACTAGTAATTCAACAATAAACAGACATTTTGATTCAGCCTCAGTAGAGCTCACTGCCTCCCAATCTTACTAGCCTGTGCCACCTTGCCTTAGTTTTCATTTGCTGTTTGTAGCTCACAAGTAGGTAAGTGCTGAATCAGATCATCTCCTAAGGTCCTGGCAAGTCCTGCCTTCCGTGATCGTAAACCAAGTTTACAAACTCAGGCTTCCATTTCTAACAGTGTCAACTAAATGACTTGGGTCTAACTGCTCTAGCATTTAAAACAACGATGCCTAGTCTAGGGCATACTTCTCAGTGACAGAAAGTCCAAAGGAACTGAGCTAGCGCCAACAATATTAAGAAAGTTTTAGAACATTTCTCTGCTATAAAACAATCGTTAAACTGGAAAAACAAAAAAAGAAAATTGAACATCACAAATCAGACTCATCACTGTTTTCTCCACTCCCTGTTACTAAGTTACCATAATCTATAGCTTTCATTCATCATTTGCCTACAACTTCAAATAGCATTGTTACTCTTGAAACGAACTGGGCTGTTGATGGGCTTTTGCTAATCACAGGTGAAAGGTCACTCTCATTTAGTAGTACACTAAGAAATAAACATAACACATTGACATGACAGAGAAGGATCAGTGTTCAAATACTGACATGCATTATATTAAGAATCAATATTAAGAATCAAATATTTTAGCTCAAGAGAAGATATTATCAGTGCTGGTCACACAGCTTCCTTAGGACTATTTATAGCAAAAAAAAAAAAAAAAAAAAATCCAACTAGAAACACGATAAAGACAATACAATAAGTAACTTATGCCCTACCTTACCTTGTAGTTTTGAGATTATATATTAATTTAATAATAATGCTAGTAACACCACTCACTGACAGGCCGCAAATCCCAAATCCAAAGCGATAGGATTGAAGATAGGTCTCTTTTCTCTCTCCCATGCATGTTCTCTCATAACTAGTTACGAGCAGGAAGACTTCTCCGTACACTTTTCTTCAAGAATGAATCGCACTCACCTTCTCGGCAAAGTCGCATTGCTTCTCGGTTTCTTCCGTATTCCTTGAAACTTTCTTCTAATGCTGTTCCTAAAACCAAAAAGCCACAAGATCTCAATCCACGCAGAAGTCGCAGAGTAGGGCTGACCCCCCCGCTACTGACCTCCGGTCCCTTCCCCTGTGGGAACAAACCAGCACGTCAGGGATACGCGCTCCTGTCGCCGCGGCAGTAAACACGGCTTCAGGGAGACTGAGATGGGCCGTCCCGTCCCCTGGAGCGGGGTCGGGGCCGGGGC